CCGTGCAGAAACCTGTTCCCTCCCTCCCTCCGTCTCTACACCACTGCACTGGGAATAGCGATGGGAATGACTGGAGGCCGTCCAAACAACCTCTGACAGCTCCTTCTAATTGGAGAAGTTATTTTCTTCCAGATTTTAGGCGTAAATCTAGTCAGTGTTTATTCAGAGTCAGTTAGGAACAAGTAGGTTTTGGCCGTGCAGCACTTTTGTTCCTGCTTGCTAAACTGCATCACTTCCCTCTGCTCCTCCCTTTCCATCTCCTTTCAAGAAGCATCGAGAGGAGCCAATCTGCAGGTCCCACACCCGTGACGGCGCCGAGCAAATGTGACACCCAAAACAAACTGCTATTGTTCGGGGAGACACTGACCTTTGCTGTCCTCGGATTACGTGACGACCTCTCGTCTCCGCTATCCTCCCCTGGTCTTACCAAACAACTTTTACCAAAGAGCCTATTAGGCCAGAATTTCACTTTGTTGTTAAAAAAGGTCTTGTCCTTTCAGAGCGCTAGCTCTTTCGCTTCTATTTTTCAATCAAAGGTGGTGGAGGAACACAAGCCCATTGTTCGTCTCGCAGATGGAAGCTGGAGTTACTACGGCAACAGCTCTAATCCCTCTTTTTACCACCTTTCTTTATATTATTGGCCCATCAAGTGGTACCTTTTAACTCAGGAGCTGGAGGGGCCAGCGGCGATGCTCCCTCTGTCTAATTAGCTGTGATTCCTGCGGCACAGTTCATGATGAGCTAATCGAACATTTGCAAAATAATGACATACCGGGAGCAGCTATTCCTTCTCCTGAGGCCCTGCTATAAGAATAACAATAATGATTCTATTATGGAAGAGCGGACTTTAAAACACCGCTTGGCCACCACAACAGAGAAGGTAATTGTGCTGGTGTTGTCCACACAATCAACAAGCTATTGTTGGCGACTTGAAAAATAAAGGAGCAGAGAATGGGTGCCACGGTGATTGGTCTGCTCTGGCATGCGGGGCCCATGCTGAATTGTCTGGCAAAGAAGGTCCTTGATAGAACGCTAAAAAAAAAGGTTTAGATGAAGACAACTGTCTGGCTTTTCTCTTTTTTTGTGTCTGGGCCTCTCTCTCTCACCGCTTAACCACCAATCCGCATTAGACCGCTGCTATTCATATAGTGAATGGGGCTGGGCCACAGAAGAACATCTTTTGGGCGGGGGAGGCTTAGATAGCCTCCATGTGCTAGACCCATGAAGATCTGAGCCCGTGTTTACTCAGAATTATCTCTGTGTAGCTTGGTTTCAATAAAAAATGACCCTGCCATACTGCTTCTATACTACATTAAAGCAACGCACGAGCCCAGGTTGAAACTTTCCAGCTCAGCTGTCACTAAAATAAGGCTCATAAGCTAAATGCAAACATGTCAATGAAGTGACTGATAGCTATAAACAAAATAACTAACCATAGAGAATAATATCAATTAATCATCAGCATGCATGGCAAATGAGCGACAGTCCAGAAGTGCTGGAATCCGATTAAATCACAGCACATTAAAAACTTTTTTTTTTTTGGCTTTTTTCTTCTTCTTCGTCTTTCAAATCTAGGTCAACGTGGGACTGAAAGTTTGAGTAAAATCTGAAATGAGTTTTTGAGAGTGATGAATTCAGTTAGTCATTTGAATCCTCATGTGCTGACTGGTGTGAGAACGGCTCTTTGTTCACGCGAGCAGAGGCCGAGGGGAGAGGGAATGCTAAGTGGGCCCCCTTTGCCTAGTCAACCTTCAGTGTGCTTCATTTATCTTCATCTTGTTAGAGTAAATTAATTAACAATCTAGCTTTTACTCACTTTCTCCTTTCATTACATCAAATAATGGCAGAGATGGAGGAGGAGGTCCTCTCCTCTGGGATTAGCCTAGAACTGCTGGAGACATCTCTCTCTTACATTTTTCCTCACTCTGTTTCTCCCTCCCTCACTCTTTCTGTAACCCAACCTTATGCCAAACTTCTCAGTTATCAATTTTTTGATATGACCAAACAAAAAAGTCACTGTGCATTATGCATATCAATGAAAATGAATAATTTGATTGTGCTTCTTTTAAAGGGGTCATATGATGCTTTTTTTAAAGATCATTATTTTGTGTATTTGGTGTAACAGAATATGTTG